CCCCAAAACCCCAAAACCCCAAAACCCCAAAACCCCAAAACCCCAAAACCCCAAATTTATAAATATTTTTGAAAATTATTAGTTAATTTGCTAGGAATTTACCGAAATACCCTTTAATGTCAATTTACAATGGATTTGCAACAAGAAACCAGGAAGGATCTTACAACAAGGCTATATTCAGCATGCTGTTTTTGCTACAGCACACCTTGCTCAGCTCCGTAAAAGGAGAGATGGATGAAGAACAATTTGTCCGTCATTTCTCAAAACTTTATAAATAAGATGCATGTGATGGAGCAGTATAAGTACTTACCCCCAAAGTTTTCCTTCGCTCTCAAGGATATGGCGAAGCATTATAAGAAGACACCCTCTCAGGGATCTTTTAAATCCCTGTCTGCAATAGAAGGGTTTAATTCAAGTATGGACACTCCTCATGAGAAGAATGATCTCCGAACTATTAAAGAGACTATGATTCGTAAAGCTAATTCCAATAATAGGTATAAAAGTTTTATTATATAGACAAAGGAGTCGCAGGGTAGGATCAAAGTAAGACTTATTAGTGTACAGCCTTGGAACAGCATATTCCCAAAGGTTTTGTGGTACTAATTTTGGGCGTTAGTCTAGCAGTTACCTTCCATATAATATTGCTGTTTAACCTACTCTAACTAGTCTTAACTAGTCAGTTATCAGCTTATAGAGATTTACAGTTAATTGAAATTTCTTCACAGGGCTTAGGATAATTTTTGAGCTCATTGGAGATTAGTTCTAGTATTCGAATTATTCTTAATATTTCAGCGATCTTTACCATTGGTATGTTATAACAGATGATAAATAAAAGAATGATAATCTTTCTAATATTCAAAGCTAATGCTATTTGAAACATATTCTTAGATAAACAGACTATAATCTCTCTAGAATCATTTCTCTAAATTTTATTTTCTAAATGCATCAAAAAATTGCCATCAGCATCATAAACAAACCAAAAAATTATTAAAATTTTATACGAAATCACATGTTTTTAATGAACATGAAGGAGCTCCTATAAATTTCTCTATCATAATTGACTAGCAGAAAGCCTCTGATAGAAGAATTAGGGTTTATTGGCTTGCTGCTCTCACTCTATTTATCTCTAATCTGTTCTAATCTAGTGCTTCCTCACTGAAGTCAAAGTCTTCAAGAACCTCCAGATCGATCCGTAGTTCATCAAGGAGCAAGAAGAAATTGAAATTTAAGAAATTGAGAAAGCCCAAGTTAAAGAAGATAAAAGCAAAAGTACTGAAACAAGCTGTAAGCTGGCTTATGGTAGATTTTGACAGTTATAGTTAAACCGTAGAGGCTTTTAAGAAGCCAGTAATTGGGTCAAACTCCAAACTCTCGTATAACAGCCCTTCTGATACAGTACACTTACCTCATCTCAGAGATGATACTGTAGTTCCTGAGGTTTTAGTGACTTCTAAAGGTAAATTATTACTCAAAAGTCTAGACATGCAAAGTCCGAATGACAGCAAGTTTAGTTATAAATCAGATTTCCCGAAGATACGTAAAAAGTCGACAAGTTCTCAACATCCGAAGCAGAAAGTTCCCAGTCAGAGTTACACAGTCAACTATAAGATGAATTTTAGATATTTTTGTAAATAGGAATTGTGGAGGTTAAAAGCAATATTAGAGGGGTTAGAAGGGGTTTTGGGGTTTTGGGGTTTTGGGGTTTTGGGG